AAAATACAAATACAAATGACTTTATTGATTCTCCAACACAGGGGTTCCAGAATCAGTTCACAAGTATTAAAATTACAATAAGACTATTAAAATTACAATTAGGTATAAGAATTTACAACATTGATTAAACAAGAGATAAGAAATAAAAATATCTAGTTAAAATAGAACAAAAACAGTATTAACCCTCGAGCCCTGACTTTTCCAATAAAACATGTTTTTGTGACAATTTAAACTGGGAAAGGGAGAGCGAGTTTCAAATGTTGCTAGGTAACGACTTCCAAAAGGTAGTAGATCTATATACGAGTACGAGCTCCCCTGAAAACGCCTGCGTGGGAGGCTAATCGCGATGCCGCTTTACTTGTTTAGCTGCCCCGAAGAAATTTTTCAGCTGCTTTCCCTGGGCCGGGACCTGGTACCTATTTTGTGCCTCGCTAAATCACGTGGATGATCACGCAGTGAAATCTTTCTCCCTTCCCCGCACCCTCCCTTTTGGATGAACTCCTCGTTTGTAATTATTTGCTAGCTTAAAATATGGTGTTGTGTCAAAATGATGCGAGTGCGCGCAGAACACAGTTCAGTGTGTAAATTTAATGTAGGGAATAATCAATAATCGAAAAAGAAAACAATTCTTGTTTTTACTCATTGTTTTGTAGTATAAAACTAACATTTGTCTCCGTTTTAATGCTAGGGATACCTTTTGATTGTAATAGTCATCGTGTTACACGCAGTCATTAAACATCATCAGGTAAAAGTCAAAACAAGTCCAAAAATAGACCCCTCCTCCCCCTCCTCCCTCTGTGAAATTATATTCCCAGGTGGTCCTTGAAAATCTAATGTGATCCTTGAAAAGTCCTTGAAAAATGGTTGCAATTTTTTGTATTAACCCTGTTGTTTCGAAACGCTTTTTTTAGTCCGTTTATAAGCCCCCCCCCCTCGTTTATAAGCCCTCGTATAATCCTACACAAAGTTGTATTAGCCCAGGGCATATAAGGGGATGTTCACGGTATTTTTTAAGGAAACCTCATCTTGCATAAGACAGTTCTCAATGATTTATTATATATAACTATTAAATATGGACGTTATAAAGAAATACTTTTACTTTTTTGGGCCTTGCGAATTGACAGGATCTTTTAATCAAGTGGATGCATGATATTTTTCCACCTCAATAATGAAATGCAAATTTAGAAATCTTACTATTACCGGACAGCTGCCCTTGAAAAGTCTTCGAAAAACTATCAGGTCTCGTTAGAAATCCAAAATTTCTTGAATGTCGTTGAATTACTACCGTACTACTTAAATTATTAACAATTATTTAAATTTCTTTAATAACTTAGACGTGGTAAAACAGCTTTTTGCAAGCAGAACTTTCTTGTCTTTTCTTCTTTTCTTTTGTTTTTGTAAATTCGGCAGTTACCGTAAAGGATAGAGACACAATTTGAACAGAATTCAAACGTTTGTATTAATTTTTTTCTGTGGAAAAGTAACTTTAGTTTCGTACGACATATATTTTATAGGTATAGGTTTTTGGAAAACATGAAATAGATTTCAATTCGCCATGAAAAAGCGGTACAATACGGCTTTAATGTTGAAAATGTACTTTTGGCCATTTTTATCAATTCTAATTGGCGGAAAACAGGTCCAATAAAGAGGAGTTAGTTAAAAGGCGGTTTTTTTGCCCTTGCCAAAGTGTTGAATTGAAGTTTTTGTTTTGCAAATATATATTTTTTGTTGTCAAGAAAGCTGGAATGAAACGCTCTCTCTTGAACGGAATTTTTTTTTATCGTAGCGCTTATGATACGATACGTGATACGCGACATGTGCTCATATATGTGGGTGCTGTATCCTATTTTAGCAGCACTTTTTTGTAAAATGCTGTAAACGATGGTTGTAGTTTTGAACTTGGAAACAATCCTGGCCATCTTTAGTGCGATTCCATTTTCAAGCTTCCGTGCTCTGCTTTCCTGTGGCTTAGTTTGTTGTATCTTATCGAGTGGTTTTACCTTTAATGAAGTCCGATTAAAGTCTGTCGTAGTTTTATTGTATGCTTTCATATCAGTGACGTCATTACCGCGGCCATTGCCAATTTTTTTGGGCACATTAAGAAATATAAAAGAGGATTAATTGATGTGTAATTTAATTGAAACCCATTACCAGTTAGCAGCTGGTCATGTTTGATTGGATTGTTTTCTTTAATTTTCCACCCGTACCGCTGAGTAACAATGGCGTACACTGTTTGTTTGTTTTTTCTTTTCTACTATCTGAATTTGATTGTAATTTTACTAATGAGTGTGTTAAATTTGGAATTAAGTTAAGATCGATAATGAGCTATCCGTGTAATTGTCTTAAAAGATTTAAAGCCTTAAATATTCCTAAAGATTGATAATGGAATTAATTTTGAAACCTTTCAAAATCCGTTAAAGTCAAGGTGTGCGTACTTCATAGCTTGAAAGTGCTTGTTTGTCAGTCAGTTTTAGCAAGGCTTCGTCATGGACCACAACCAGACAGAAACGTCCATCATGTCAACGAATACGACCAAGTCAGTGTTTTATTGCCCACATATTCCACAATTAATATGGGATGTGCATGACGCCATTTCTCCTTGGATATTTGCCGCTGTTGCATCTATAATCTCACCTGCTACAGTTCTTTTGAACGCGTTAGTTATCATAGCAGTTACGGAAAGGAGAGAACTTCAGAAACTTTCCAATATCCTGTTGTCAAGTCTGGCCGTTACGGACCTTCTTGTAGGTGCTATATGTATACCATTATCTGCTATAGATGGATTCTTACTTCCCTATCAAATTCTTGCTGCTCAGGATATTTGCACGCTCGACGTGGCAACAGCCTGTTTCTCACTCACTCTGACATTTTGTTCGCTGTTCCATCTGGTGCTGATTGCATGGGAGAGGTACGTGGCCATTCGAAAGTGGAGGGACTACAAAGATATACTGACTAAAAGCCGCTTGAAAAAGCTGGCAATGACAGCTTGGATTTCAGGACCAGTATTCATTTTGTGCCCATTCCTTATTTCCGTAGCGGCCAGTGGACGGACTTCGTTTGTAGTTTTTCTTGCTTCAATTTGTTTTATCGTGGCACTCATCTTATATTTTTACGTCATGGTGTACCTTGAAATTCGCAAGCGAAAATTCAATCAGATTCTTCAGGTCAGCGTGTTAACGTTATTGAAAACAGAATACAGAGTTGCGAAGACCACTGCTTTGGTTACGGCAGCCTTGTTTCTTTCCTTCGTTCCCGTTCTTTTTCTCCCCTTATTGGGAAGAATTTTTCCCGTACTTCGTAAAATGTCGTCATGGCGCGTAGTTGAAACACTAGTGCTTTCTAACTCTTTAGTTAATCCACTTATTTACTGTTACAGAGACTGTCGTTTAAAGAAAGTTGTTCTCGAGTTATTGAGGATTAAAAAACCTAAACCAAGGAATGCAGTGGACATAGTGCGATTCATTGAACGAACAGATGTACGTGGTCCACTGAAAGATAGGGTGGAGATCATACAAGAAGGAGATAAGAATATCCGTTTGACGAGATCAGCATCCTATGATTTGACCCGACTTTGTGATCGACCTGATATCAAGCCCAATATAATGTTGGCTAAGAGAAGTATGTCGGCTCCATATATACATGTAGGTGGCATTTCGGGCGAAGACTAGCTAGACGCCTGTAAGACCATCGGCCATCGTGGTCCTTGGAGTCATGAGCGCCGTTTGAAGGTCCTCAGCTAGAATATAGAGAGATTAAGATTCACGTTTACGCCAAACGGCATACGTGAATTTGTACCCCGTGAACAATTTTTCCCCTTATTTTCCGTTTACTCTTTATTGCTTCTACACAAAAAAAGGAGTTTAATGCCAGTTTTAACCATAGGAATCGTTCGGGACTGTTGTTATCTGCTTATTTTCTATTCTGAGAAATTCTCAACTTGAGTCTGACGTTTGCCGTTTGCAGTAAACGTGAATCTTAATCTCTCGTATGATTCAGAACTGCTGCCACAAAGAACCGCTTCTTAAGAACGATGACCATCTTAGGAAACGGAAGATAAGAGCAAATATCGAACGAACAGACTATTCTCCACGGACGATTGAGAGAATTCAGTACATTCATTTTGTTTTTTTATAAGAATTTATTTTATAAGAATATCGAGACTAAAATTTGCCAAATTTTAAGAATATCTTCCGGGCTAAGAGTTTAAACAGGATATAATTTTATGTGCTGAAAATCTATAAACACAATACAATGTTTTTAACTTACTCCTTCTCTAAACGGTAACTCCTTCTAACCAACGAAACGAGTAAACCTGGCAATAACTCTAATTAATACCCCAATATATTCCAAAAAGGAAATGCCATAAGCTGTAATTTAAGAATTATACTAAAATACAATCAGCCTAAAATCGGCCAAAAAAGAAAAAAAAAAGAATATTCAGCCTAAGCCGGAAAACAACATTCTTATATATATATAAAAAAGAGCGTGTAAGTAAAAACCTTTGTATAATTGTTATTAGCAGGCGCGAGACTAGTTAGTCTTGGAAACACGTGCAAACACCGGGTCGTAGAAAATCTTTGGAATAGTTATATCTTTAGCTACACTCTTCCCACAACTCGGGCTTAGTTTATATCTGCCTAGACGACAAATTGTTTCAAAGGTTCGTACCTTTTTGTCATTGTTATTTGACTTCCATTTCGAAAATTAGTGTGATATTCCTCATAGATTTTGATTATATTTAATGAATTGAACATTAGCAACCAGAATGAGTTTTTTAAATTATTTTTTCCTGAGATTTTCTAAGCGCCGGGGCAGAGATTGCGCGAGCTCCTTTAGCGTGTTTCGGATTTTTGGATTTGTATGGAAAACCTTCAAGCGTGACTGGGTGGCAAAAGTTGTTTTTCTCATACAAATCCTTCAAATTTTCGGCGGCCGTTGCAATCGCTACCTTTGAGATATTCGGCTAAAAATTTTACAGGTTGCCTAATTTTAATATGCTCTTGCAGCTTGTGCAAACAAAATTTTTCAAAGGCGAACTGTTTTCGTGTTTACCGAAAGTTGATCACGTGATCAGCTTATGCAAAAGACCTACACTTATTAACCCATTTACCCCGGACATAAGCCCCCTCCCTCCCCCCGCCTTTAGCTTGTATTGAAATGAATCCCATTTCCATGATGCTTTGAAGCTTAAAAAGACGAGTAAATTCGAAAAGTGTTTTAATCAGTACTGTGATGTTGCTTGTTTAGTCCGGTTATACGTCCCCTTGGATATAAGCCCCCTCCCCCCACTCCCCTCGTTTAACCCCGTACGAAGTTGTATTAGCCCAGGGCATATAAAGGAAGTTCACGGTATTATTTAAGGAAACCTCCTCTTGAATAAGACAGTTCTAAATGATTGATAATATATAACTATTAGATATGGACGGACGTTGTAAAGAAATACTTTTACTTTTTTGGGCCCAGAGAATCGACAGGATATTTTAATCAAGTGGATGTATTATATTTTTCCACTTCAATAATGAAATGCAAATTTAGAAATCTTACTGTTACCAAACAGCTGGCCTTGAAAAGTCCGTTCGAAAAACCAGGTCCCGTTAAAAATCCAAGAATTTCTTAAATATCGTTAAATTGCTCTCCAACCGTAGTCCTTAAATAATTAAAAATTCTTGAAATTTCTTGAACAACTTAGACGTGGTTAAACAGCGTTTTGCAAGCAGAAGTTTCTTATCTTTTTCTTTTCTTTTCTTTTTGTAAATTCGGCGGGTACCATAAAGGACAGAGACAATTTCAAACATTTGTATTATTTTTTTCTGTGGGAAATAGATGATATTACATGGCCGCGCGGAGATACGAATTTTATCTTCGAGTGCTGAAAGAATCTCTCACGAGTGAGCGATACTTTCAGCACGAGAAGATAAAATTCGTATCCCCAAGCGGCCATGTAATGTTCTGTTACTTTATAGATACTGATGAAATTCCTCCATAAAACACAACTTTTTTTAAATTCACTTTCGAAACAGCAAAATGGTGCAATTAAAGTGGTCACCTATCGGAAAATGCCTGTCAAAAAAATGTTATGAAACTCGGATATAAAGTTATAAAGGAGAAATAAAGACAAAAGTACTTATATTTTCTGCTCCAAAAAGTCAAAATTCTAATGTAGAAGAGAAAAATTCTATATCAGCAAAACCGTATCTTAAAATAATCATGTTAGTAACCATGGCGACACCAATATCCTCACACGTGAAAGATAAAAATAGTATCTTCACTGCGCGCGATGAAGATATGATTTCTTAGTAAAAGGAAAAATCCTGATATTTCATCAGTATCTATATAATAAAGTAACTTTATTAAATTTCGTACGATATATATTTTATAAGTATAGGTTCAGTTGTGGAAAACATCAAATAGATTTAAATTCGCCATGAAAAAGGAAGCTTCATTGCATTGAAACGACAGTACAATACGCGTTTCATGTTGGAAATGCCCTTTTGGCCATTTTTATCAATTTTAATTGGCGGGAAACAGGTCCAAAAAAAAAGATTTGATTAAAAGGCGGTTTTTTTGCTCTCGCCAAAGTGTTAAAGTGAAGTTTTGTTTTGCAAATGTACTTTTCCATTGTCAAGAAAGCCGGAATGAAACGCTCTCTCTTAAACTGAATTTTTTTTTTATCTTGGCGCCTATGAAAGCGCGGTACGTATTTATATATATGGTTGCTGTGTCCTATTTTAGCAACACTCTCCTGTAAAGTGTTGTAATCGACGGTCCTAGTTTTGAACTTGAAAGCAATCTTGGTCATCTTAAGTGCGATTCCATTTTCAAGCTTCCGTGCTCTGCTTTCCTGTGGCTTAGTTTGTTTTACGTTATGCAGTGGTTTTAAGTCCGTCCTAGTGTTTTTGCATTCATTCTTATCAGCAACGTCATTACGAACTATTGCCAATTATTTTAGCCACATTAAGAAATAAATAAGAGGATTAGTTGATGTGCAATTCAATTTAAACCCATTGTTACTTCGCAGCTGGTCAGGTTTGATTGGATTGTTTTCTTTATAATTCTACCCATATTTCTAAGTAACAATGGCGTCTACTGTGTGTTTGTTTGTTTGTTTGTTTGTTTTTTTCCAGTATCTGAATTAGATTGTAATCATTAATTTCCTGGTGATAGCACTAAGCAAGAGTAATGCATTGATTAACCAACTGAGTCCTGGTACCTTCACCTATTGGGTACCTGTGGTCTTACTAATGAGAGTGTTAAATTTAGAATTGAGTTAAGATCGATAATGAGCTATCCGTGTAATTGTCTTCTGCCATTTTTGTTTGAGATATAAAAGATTTAAATCTTTTAATAAACGTAAAGAGTTACGTTGAAACCAAGATGTGCGTACTTCATAGCTTGAAAGTGCTTGTTTGTCAGTCAGTTTTAGGAAGTCTTCATCATGGACTACAACCAGACAGAAGCGTCCATCATGCCATCGAATACGATTAAGTCGGTGTTTTATTGCCCACATATTCCACAATTAATATGGGATGTGCATGACACCATTTCTCCTTGGATATTTGCCGCTGTTGCATCTATAATCTCACCCGCTGCAGTTCTTTTGAACGCGTTAGTTATCATAGCAGTTACGAAAAGGAGAGAACTTCAGAAACTTTCCAATATCCTGTTGTCAAGTCTGGCCGTTACGGACCTTCTTGTAGGTGCTATATGTATACCATTATCTGCTATAGATGGATTCCTACTTCCCTATCAAATTCTTGCTGCTCAGCATATTTGCACGCTCGACGTGGCAACAGTGTGGTTGTCACTCACTCTGACATTTTGTTCGCTGTTCCATCTGGTGCTGATTGCATGGGAGAGATACGTGGCCATTCGAAAGTGGAGGTACCACAGAGATACACTGACTAAAAGCCGCTTAATAAAGCTGGCAGCAATAGCTTGGATTTCAGGAACAGCTTTCGTTTTGATCCCTTTCCTTATTTCCATAGCGGTCAGTGGACGGACTACGTTAGTAGTTTTTCTTGTTTCAACATGTCTGATCCTGGCACTCATCGTATATTTTTACGTCATGGTGTACCTTGAAATTCGCAAGCGAAAATTCAGTCAGATTCTTCAGGTCAGCGTGTTAGTGTTATTGAAAACAGAATACAGAGTTGCGAAGACCACTGCTTTGGTTACGGCAGCCTTGTTTCTTTCCTTCGTTCCTGTTGTTTTTCTCCCTTTATTGGGAATAGTTTTTCCCGTACTTCGTAAAATGACGTCGTGGCGCGCAGTGGAAACACTAGTGCTTTTTAACTCTTTAGTTAATCCACTTATTTACTGTTATAGAGACTGTCGTTTTAAGAAAGTTGTTCTTGAGTTATTGAGGGTTAAAAAACCTAAACCAAAGAATACAGTGGACATAGTGCGATTTACCGAACGAACAGATGTACGTGGTCATCTGAAAGATAGGGTGGAGATCATACAAGAAGTAGATGAAAATATCCGTTTGACGAGATCAGCATCCTATGATTTGACCCGACTTTGTTATCGACCTTACATCGAGCGCAATAAAATGTTTGCTAAGAGAAGTATGTCGGCTCCGTATATACATGTAGGTGGCATTTCGGGCGAAGATTAACTAGACGCGTGCAAGAGCATTGACCATCGTGTTCCATGGCGCCAAGAGCGCCGTTTGAAGTTTCTCAGCGAGAATATGATTCAGAACTGCTGCCACAAAGAAGCGATCCTTAAGAACGACGACCATCTTAGGAAGCGGAAGATAAGGGCAGAGGGCAAATATCGAGCGAACAGACTATTTTCCACAGACGATTGAGAGAATTTCAGCATATTCATTTTTTATAAGAATATATTTTATAAGAATATCGAGGTTGAACTTTGCGAAATTTTTAGAACATCTTGAGAAAAATCCCAGGCTGAGATTTTGAACAGAGCATAATATTGTGTGTTGAAAATCTATAAACTCAATACAAAATGTTTTTAACTTAACTTAACCAAACGGGAACTCCCCAAATCAACAAAACGAAAAAACCTGCACTAAGGATAATTGATACCCCAATGTATTCTAAAACAGAAATGTCATAAGCAATAATTTAACAATAATACAAGAATACTTTCAGCCTAAAATCGGCCTAAGAAAATAAGAATATTCAACCCGGGCCCGGAAAACAACGCTCTTACAAAAATAAAGTTGCGTAAGTAAAAACCTTTGTTTAATTATTATTAGCAGTCGCGAGACTAGTTAGTCTTGGAAACGAATACAAACAACTAAGCAGATCTCTTGAATAGGCATATCTTTAGCTACTCTCTTCCCACAGCTGGAGCTTAGTTTATATCTGCCGAGACTACAGTTTGTTTCAAACGTTCGTTCCGATTCTTTATTCGCTTAAATTTTAGTTATTATTACACTACCATTCCGAAAATTAGTATGATATTCCTTATCGATTTTGATTACATCGATTGATTTAAACATTAGCAACCATAATTCCATCGAATACTGAACACTATAAAAGAAGGATAGGTATACACTCTTCGGTCTGGCTGGTGGCAATTTTAGGGAGATCGGTCGCTTTGTTTGGAATTTATTGGCCTTCGAGCGGCGAGAGTCGGTTGGAAGGTCTCCAGCCTTCCCTTCTTTTATAGTGTTCAGTATTCGATGGAAAGAAAGTCGACTAAACGGCGTTTAAACCGACCGTAGGACACAGAGTGGCTATGAACTAAAGGTAAGTGAGCTTTTTGAATCAATATTTCGCGTGATCATGATTTTTTTTTCTTAGCGTTGTAGATTCGAATACATGTGATAAAATTCGAACAATAAGGGCCCGAATCACATGTAATAATGCAAGAAATATTGATTTTCGTTATCTTAAAGGCTACTAGTACAGATAGACAAACAAGAAGACTTCATATCTTTAAGACTTTTTGCATTTATTTGGCATCAGATAATACACTAATAATTCTAGTATGTTCCAACCAAATGACCTCTGAAGCCCGAACCCACAAATAGTGCGCTTGGGCTGCCTGTGATGTGCCGGGCCTACGCACGCGACGGTTTAGCGCGCGAGTTTTCAAACTTTTTGTAACGATCGAAATCGGTAGTTACGCCTGATCGCAAGTTACAATGTTGCAAGGTAAGCTGCTAGAGTTTTCTGATTTCCATCGCTTCACAGCTAATGCAGTAAGCGTAAACACTTTTTTGTGAAAAATCGAAGCAGATCGAAGAACTGCGATCGGAGATAATGATATTTTTTTTTCTTTTGCGCTCAAAATATGCTAATTTGGACTTGAAATCTTCCTGGCTAAATCCCCTCATAACTAGCTTCCTATAGCATGTAATCCCCCAGATATTAAATGCGTAAATGCTTTCAGAGAAAAAGCAAAATTATATTTTGGAAGGAATATCGAAAATTGGAATGTTTACGTTGCGCGATGTGCCAATCATTCCATATATGTTGAATTTGGTCGGCGGTCTTTCCAGTTTGCGACCTTGCGATCAAGGGACTTCTGCCAGCAGCAGTAGTTCGAAGGTTCAATCGTTAGTCCACACAAATCGAATCCCCTTGTTCTACAAAAAAATATTAGCAAGGATTATGCTATCAGAAACGAAAACATCACGATTGTTCATTTTTTATTGTCTTCATGTGATCATGATATGTCGTTACATGGAAAGCTGGTCGCCGTCGCGTCGCGTTGGCCTCTAAAACTTTTCTTTCTAAAATCGAACGATGTACTGGATGCGGTCCTCGGCACTGATCTTGGGGAACAGCGGTGTTTTAAATTCCTAATAAGGCAGTTTGTATCCTGAAACAAAACGAAAATAATTTGTTCCATGACCGATCGGAAACTGTCGTTGCCTGTGGTTTCTGTGGTGTGAAGATCTCACCTGTGATTGGTTGCAACACAATAAACATTCCAGACATATTTTAGGTGTTCACGCCAATATAATCACCGCTGTAAATCTCTCTATGAATATATGCTTGGTGTCCGCCAATGACGTCATGTAGCGCTACGTCATGGAAGTGATGATTTTGCGATTCCAGTCAACATAGACTTTGTCGCTGATGACCAGCTCATTTTCATGTATTATTCATGAAAGGCTCATGTGTTTATTCATCCATGAAACAATGTTTACAATCGGTGAATCACGAGCAATCTCCCATTCAGATGACACAGAACAACAAGCACAACAAGTGGCTGGAAATCCTCGATTGTCAACCGAAACTCCTGTTGATTATGTACTGCAACAATAGTGCAAACACTCTCATTGCTGTAGTTCACTTAACAAGAAATATTTTTCGTCAATTACCAGCATTTACTTGTTATTTTCACTGCATTACTAATGACACACTTCACAAGTAATTATTATTACGCTTATTGTTAAGAATGGCATGGGTTAGCTGCATATTCACCTCACTTTCGTGCAGTTATTCACTATCACACCCATTTTCTTTTGACTATTAATTTTATTACACAATGTAGGAGGGTCAAATGGGGTGAACACGGGACCTATGAAACATTGGCTAACCTTCCTTAACAACACCAACCCCATTTAAATCCCAGAAAATCCCTTTTAACGACAAAGCACAGGGTTCAAATTTACTCCAACAAAAAGGTGATCAAGTACATCTCACATTCCAATATTAGGGCCAGTATTGAAACCCGCCCTCCCAAGCTACACAATTTACTCCGATTCTCTCCCCCCCTTCCATCCCTGACGTTTTGTGGGCCTTCCCCACCCCCCGAGCTTCGCGAGTTTCTGCGATACACGTATTTCTAGTATAAAAGTAATAATTGCATTCAAGGTGGTTTATACATATGGACACATTCCTTAAATCTCGAACACATTGTCCAACCATGTGAACTGTGATAAATGTTGATTATCAGTTGGGGTCTCATTGGACCCCACTTGGTTGGATGAGGGTTAATGATAAGGATGATGATCTTGATGATAATGATGATGATAATGATAATGAAGAAATAACTTTTTATTGACTACAAAACTAAATACTAAAACCTGTTTGTAGTTCCTTTCCATTAAAAACTATTTACAAGTATAGCAAAGCTATTTTCAAGTACAGACTTTAAGGAATAAAGTGATAAACAGTGCAAGCAACAATGTTGGGCTACAAATATGCTATAGACCATTTTACAGTTGCGGACTTAGTAACCTGGCCTTTGAGTGAACGTGAGGCTGAGGTTGACCTTGTTTTGATACAAACCTCCTCCCTTTTGTAGTGGAAGTTTTGCTTGAAAAATACAAGTTAGCATAAGAACAACATGATTTACATAATAAAGCAAGAAGGGATGTATGAAAACAAGGTTGTATCAAAACAAGGTCAACTCTGTCCTCGTTTTCACCTGTAACTGTAAAATGGGCTATTTTTAGGCCCCCAAACAAGTTTTGGATCATTGTGGATGTTCTTCTTTACGCTTGTTTTCAGAAACTTTACCGTTGGAGAAGAAACTTGAAGGAGCCTGAACCAGGAATTCTGTTCCCTGGAATCACACGACCTGATGCAGACGAGGGATGTGTGAGCTGCATCAAATATTTGTTTAACAAATTCTTCTTTCACTTTGGTTGGGAGGTAAGAATAGACATCTTTCATAATGGCGGCCCCTTTAATATACAGTAAAAACCCACGAGTAAGAACTTGCATTTTCCCATAGATATCCTAAACAGGTTCTTACATGAACGGTAATAAGGATAAATTTAGGTGTCCCCTGCGAGCTTAATTGAGAGCTTTAGACACCCAGGAAAGCTTCATTTTAACTTGTTTTCACCAAAAAAGTTAGTACGGTTATTTGTACTGAAGGAGGTTAAGCCCTCTCCCAATGGCAAAATGATAAAACTTCTCACATTTGATAACTTGTTGCCGCCACTACGACATTCTCGCTAAAACTCGTAGCAGATTGACAGCGGCTATCGCTTTTTCCCGCCAAAATGACGCTGGTTCACTCGTGAGCAATACTCAATATTGAGAAAGTCTCGTACTCGGAATCTAAAGCTCTCTAATACTTTCTCGTATCCAACGCGTTCTCTTGGAATAATTTAGGGAGTTTAAGCAACGACTTTTTTGAGCGACGCACGTCAACCGGAGGTAGATTTTTTGCAACCTCGTGATTTTGACCGGGCAAATCGTCTGTATGGAGGAAACTGTATTTACATCACTCTTTGGCTCAGCTGTTGATTTTTCTTCTTTTCAGGTTTGTCTAGTCATGATCGTCATAAACATGGCTGTCCGTTGTGATATCTCTTCCGTAGTGTACGCAATATGGCTCGGGGTCTTTTTAGTACTAGGCCGACAGAACTCGTCTATTGTGTGGCCTGTGTACGTGGGCTTCCTGGCAGTGCTCCTACCACTACAGTATCTTCTTGTACTTGGATGGCCTCCTGCCCTGTGTTTGGGTAAGAGCTCGTTTGGATTTGACTTTAAACTGATGTATTGAGAGTGCCTCTTTGTTACTTCTTTGAAGTCAAGAGTTACTGTATTATAAAACAGGTTTGGTGAGCACAGTTTAAATAAACAACCTTTATCGCAAATTCAGTCCGATTTTGGCCATAATAATATTCATCATCATCATCATCATCGTCATCATCATCATCATCAACGCCACAATCTT